GACAACGACTGAAATACCAACCGTCCTGGGCGGGGTTGTTGTAGCCGCTACAACAACAACAACAACCATTTTGTCGGAAATATGCGATAACATGGTAAAAACCATTATTATCGGAGATTTTAATATAAACCTGAATATAATGTCGACATATAGTAAGAAACTGAATGAGATATTCGCCCATCAGGCTTTGAAACAGTTAATTAACTTTAATACTAGGGTTACTTCCACGGAAGTTAGCAGGGCATGCGATATTTTTTAAAATGTGTCAGCCGCAAGATAATTCTTTTCACGGATAAACAACGAATAATTTACGGCAAATTATCAGATAGTTAGTTTGGGTTTAGCTGGTTTCCATTATTGGTTTTCAGACATTTTTTAAAATGTTTCCGCGGCAAGATAATTCTTTTCACGGATAAACAACGGATAATTTACGGCAAATTATCAGATAGTTTGTTTGGGTTTAGCTGGTTTCCTTTATTGGTTTTCAGAAGGCGGAAGTTAGCAGGGCACGCGATATTTTTTAAAATGTTTCCGCGGCAAGATAATTCTTTTCACGGATAAACAACGGATAATTTACGGCAAATTATCAGATAGTTTGGGTTTAGCTGGTTTCCTTCATTGGTTTTCAGACATTTTTTAAAATGTTTCCGCGGCAAGATAATTCTTTTCACGGATAAACAACGGATAATTTACGGCAAATTATCAGATAGTTAGTTTGGGTTTAGCTGGTTTCCTTTATTGGTTTCCACGGAAGTTAGCAGGGCATGCGATATTTTTTAAAATGTGTCAGCCGCAAGATAATTCTTTTCACGGATAAACAACGGATAATTTACGGCAAATTATCAGATAGTTAGTTTGGGTTTAGCTGGTTTCCTTTATTGGTTTCAGAAGGTGGAAGTTAGCAGGGCACTCGATATTTACGGATAATTAACGGCAAATTATGCGATAGGAATTTTTGCTTTGAGAAAAAGTTGTCCTGCCAAGTTCAGAGAGGTGGTTAAACTCCTACCTGAGTAGATTGAGTGAG